GTACCTCGGGTCATGAACTGCCGGAATTGTAAGCGGTTGGGACATACGGCCTCCCACTGCGGCAACAAGGCACGCTGCTCCACATGCGGGGAGAAGCATGAGGATGGCGCCTGCGCAGCTACTGCACCAAAATGCGTGTACTGCAATGGAACTCCTCCTCATGCTCTCTCGTCGTGCCCGGCGTACAAACAGCTCGGGGACAAAATGAAACGCTCCCTTAAGGAACGTTCCAGGCGGTCTTTTGCAGAAATGCTTAAGACAGCCAAGCCATCGACCAACGAAACAAATCCCTTCGCTCTTTTGTCAGATGACGAGTCTGGCTCTGACTTGGCTGAGGAGGGAGTTTCTTTCAGTTTTCCGGAAGGTTCTGCCCGGAAACGAAAACGCATCCGTTCGCGGAAAGTTGCAGATCAAGAACCCCAAATCAGCTTGCCCAAATCAAGGAGTGGTGGAAAAAAGGAGACTTCTACTCCTCCTGGATTCCGCAGAACTGATTATACCCAGGATTTTCCACCACTTCCGGGGACATCCAAAACCCCTGATGCCCCAATTTTAAGAACAGAAGCCCCTTCTTCATCTGGGCTGTTCTCATTTGATGACATTGTGGACGGTATTCTCAAATACCTCAACATTTCTGATCCTCTGAAAAGCATTGTCCTCACATTGCTTCCGACTGTGAAATCCTTCTTGAAGCAATTGACTTCAAAATGGCCCCTTCTTGCAGCTATCATCTCCTTCGATGGATAATTTTCCAAACGAGGTCGGGGATTTGATCACTGTTCTACAGTGGAATTGTCGAAGTCTTATTCCGAAATTAGATTCGTTCAAGTATTTAGTCCATAACAATAATTGGGATGCATTTGCCCTCTGTGAAACATGGCTCTCTTCAGAAATTGATCTCCCTTTTTTTGATTTTAACATTATTCGATTGGATCGTGAGGATTCACGTGGAGGAGGGGTACTTTTGGGGATCAAAAAGTGCCATTCCTTCTATAGAGTGAATCTTCCCGAATTCCCCGGTATTGAAGTTGTCGCATGTCAGGCTACCATTAAAGGTAAGAGCCTTTGTATTGCTTCTGTATATATTGCTCCTAGAGTCTCTGTTAATCGCAAACAACTTTTCGACATATGTGCGGTACTTCCTGCTCCATGGTTGATCATGGGAGATTTTAACTCCCACGGTACAGGCTGGGGGGAGCTGTACGATGATAACCGTTCTACTTTGATTTATGATCTCTGCGACAACTTCAACATGACAATCCTTAACAATGGAGAAGTAACACGTTTGGCTGGTCCATCCTCGAATGGTAGCAGATTAGACCTCACCTTTTGCTCCAATTCACTATCGTTGGATTGCACTTGGCATGTAATCCAGGATCCGCACGGTAGTGATCATCTGCCGATCAAAATTTCGATTGCCAGTGGGTTCAACTCGTCAGAATCCGTTAACGTCGCGTATGATCTAACCCGTAACATCGATTGGACTAAGTTCCAATCCGCGATAGACGATACAGCATCGTCAGTGGAAGAGCTTCCGCCGTTGGAGGAATATAATTTCCTCTCTAATCTCATCGTCGACAGCGCACTTCAAGCTCAAACACGACCGGTGCCGCGATCGTCTATTCGTAAGAAAACACCATCGCTCTGGTGGGATCAACAATGCACGGAGGTTTACCGTAAAAAGTCCGACGCGTTTAAACTTTTTCGGAAACGCGGAACACGCGAGCATTTCAACGCATACACATCTCTTGAACGCGAACTCAAGAGCCTCATCAAGGCCAAAAAACGGGGTTACTGGCGGCAGTTTGTAGACGGATTGTCGCGCGAAACGTCTATGAATACGCTTTGGAGTACGGCACGAAGAATGCGTAACCGGTCTACTAACAACGAAAGCGAGGAATGCTCGGATCAATGGATTCTTAAATTCGCGCGAAAAGTGTGTCCGGATTCCGTGCCGTCGCAGTTGATTCCTCGCGAAACCGCGAATTCGGTACACGAAATCAGTCAGCCTTTTTCAATGGTCGAACTTTCACTCGCTCTCCTTACGTGTGGTAATTCTGCCCCGGGATCTGATAGAATCAAGTTCAACTTGCTGAAAAACCTCCCAGACGTCGCTAAGAGGCGCATGTTGAACTTGTACAATCAGTTCTTGGAGCTCAATATTGTTCCCGACGATTGGAGACGAGTAAGGGTGATAGCCATTAAAAAGCCTGATAAACCCGCGTCGGATCACAATTCGTATCGGCCCATCGCGATGCTGTCGTGTATTCGGAAATTGATGGAGAAAATGATCCTTTTTCGCCTCGACAAATGGGTTGAGACGAACCACCTTCTTTCAGATACTCAATTTGGTTTCCGTAGGGGTAAGGGAACGAACGACTGTCTCGCGTTGCTTTCCTCGGAAATTCAGTTGGCTTTTGCTAAGAAAGAGCAAATGGCTTCTGTGTTCTTGGATATCAAGGGGGCTTTTGATTCAGTATCTGTTGAAGTTTTTTCAGAGAAACTCCACGCTTGTGGATTGCCTCCATTAATGAATAATTTTTTCTACAATTTGCTGTCAGAAAAACATATGAGCTTTTCTCATGGAAACTCTACAGCTTTTCGATTTAGCTACATGGGTCTCCCCCAAGGCTCATGTTTAAGCCCCCTTTTGTACAATTTCTACGTTAGAGAAATTGATGTCTGTCTTAGTGACAATTGCACGTTGAGACAACTTGCAGATGACGGCGTAGTGTCTATCACAGGGCCAAAAGAGGTTGACCTGCAAGGACCCTTACAGGATACCTTGGACAATTTGTCTACTTGGGCTATTCAGCTAGGTATCGAATTCTCCACGGAGAAAACTGAGTTGGTCGTTTTTTCTAGGAAGCATAGCCCAGCACAACCGAAGCTTCAACTTTTGGGTAAACCGATCACTCATTCCATGTCTTTTAAATATCTCGGGGTCTGGTTCGATTCCAAATGCACCTGGAGATCCCACATTGAGTATCTGAGACGAAAATGCCAACTAAGGATCAATTTCCTTCGATCAATTACCGGAACGTGGTGGGGAGCCCATCCACAAGATCTTCTGACGTTGTACCGGACAACGATTTTATCGGTTTTAGAGTACGGTAGTTTTTGCTTCCAGTCGGCAGCTAAAACGCACATCATCAAGCTGGAACGGATCCAGTATCGTTGTCTTCGTATCGCGTTAGGATGCATGCACTCGACTCATACTATGAGTCTCGAAGTGCTGGCGGGCATGTTGCCACTATCCGTCCGTTTTTCAGAGTTATCTCTTAGGCTCCTCACCCGTTGCGAAGTAATGAACCCACTGGTGATCGAAAATTTTGAGGAGCTTCTGGAGCTAAATCCTCAAACATGTTTTATGACTTTGTACTACCTATATTTAACACAGGATGTCAGCCCTTCAAGAAATATTCCCAATCGTGTAATCTTCTCCGATTTCGGCAATTCAGTCAATTTTGATTTATCTATGACGCAGGAAATCCGCGGAATTCCAGAGCATCATCGTCCTATGATTGCTCCGTCATTATACGCTGCAAAGTTTGGCCATGTTGATTCTGCAAGAACGTTTTTCACAGATGGATCTCTAATAGAGGAGTCCGCTGGTTTTGGTGTATTTAATGCATTTCATAGCGCCTCTCGAAAACTTGAAGCTCCTTGTTCTGTGTATGTGGCTGAACTGGCAGCAATTCACTACACTTTGGAAGCTATTGCTTCACTTCTTCCAGACCACTACTTTATTTTTGCGGATAGTCTCAGTTCTGTCGAGGCTATCCGTTCCATTAGGCCGGTAAAGCACTTCTCGTATTTTCTCTTGAAAATACGAGAACTGCTTAGTACTTTATCCGTGCGCTCTTTCATCATCACCTTCGCGTGGGTCCCTTCGCATTGCTCAATTTTGGGCAATGAGAAGGCGGATTCACTTGCGAAGGTGGGCGCTATGGAAGGCGACATTTATGATCGACAGATCGCCTATAGTGAATTTTTCTCTATTTATCGTCAGCAGTCGCTCGTTAGCTGGCAACATCAATGGAGTGAAGGGAGCTTGGGACGATGGCTACATTCAATTATCCCTAAGGTGTCGAAGTTTGCATGGTTCAAAGGGTTGGACTTGAGTCGAGACTTCATACGCGTGATGTCTCGTCTCATGTCCAATCACTATTGTCTAAACGCTCACTTGTTCCGTGTGGGGTTGGGAGACAGCAATCTCTGTGAATGTGGACAAGGTTACCAGGACGCTGATCACATCCTTTGGTCTTGTGCGGAGTATCGTGGAGTCAGATCACATTTTTATGATTCCCTTCGGGCTCGAGGTAGACAACCTAATGTTCCAGTTCGGGATATTTTGGCTAGACGCGATCTGGAGTTTATGAAACTCATATATGTTTACTTTAAGGATATTAACCTTAGATTGTAAGTTTGATTAACCTTGTGCTTAGTTTGTATTTTGTACGTGTGGGTTTTTTTTTCAATGTTTGTTTTCAAGATGAATAGAAATAATTTCATGCTTTAGGATTAATTAAATAGTTGTATCGTAAACCACATTTCAAACCTCCTTCTTCCCTTTTCCCATCCAAAAAATTGTAAATCTCCACTAACCTCGAGACAACCGCGAGTACTCGGTCCAGTTCCTTTAACTTTAAATTTAAGACAGTAATAATGTATAACGCAAAGGATAACTCGGCTCTGTAAAGTTTATTCGATTGAGCCTGTACAAATAAAGTAATTATAAAAAAAAAAAAAATAATGCGTACAACGGCAGGGACATTCAGTCGTAAATTTTCAATAAAGTGACGGAATGTCAAAGTTGGATGATGAGCATCAAATTGACCTCTACTGCATTTATTCCTAATAGAACAGTAGTTCGAGTATGGATTTTTTTTTCAAAGAACAATGATAAATTTACTAAAGAATGAAAATGAAATTTAAATAAATATTTCATAAAATATTAAAAGCATTTGTTCAGCCAAAATTAGGTGAGTAACATTTACCTTTTATTGATAAAAATACAGAAGTGCTGATTTTCCTTTCTCCCGTTAGTGCATCAGTTGACACGCAGGAGAACTGTTTCTGCCTATCATCGATATTAACATTTCGGATGCATAAATCACCACTTGGAGACGTAACGATGTAACGCTTGCCTAGATAAAATATTGATTTAAGGAGAAATACCATCCAAGTAATTGAAATTTTTAAATCCTTACCTAACTCCGATCGATCAGGAATCAGCATTTCCATATCACGGTACCATGCCGACACGTGAACAAATTCGCGGGCATGAGGGGAAATGTTGCATTGTAAAAATGCAGTACTACCGAGAACTACATCAGTTTTCTCTACTATTATTTCATATGGTTGTCGTACGACTATTTAAAACAATAAAATAATCAATATAATTTGAATTGCAGCTAACATCATTATGATCTTACTCGCACGAACTCTTACATCTTTGCTAATCAAAATGTAGTGAAGGTAAGAAACTCTACAGCGGTAAGTGGTGTCATGCACTTCAGTACGAAATAAGTGACCAGCGAATGGTGGAAAGTACAAGGTACCATTCGGAAGGGTTTGTCTGTAAATAAATATAAATCATTTAGAAAACTACTTAAATACCTGATCATCACACTTTGCATTTTTTTTTTTTATTGAAATCAGTAAAAAAAAATCACGGAAATCGATCTGTAAAATTAAAATTCCAAACCGTTCGATAAAAGTAAATTTTTTTTTTTGATGGATTATTCGTAAAATTACCGAAATGACTTTAAATGCAAAAAATACAGACCCATTTGTAATACTGAAAAATCTGTAACCGAAGTTGTTCCTACGAATGATTTCATTCAGGGTTAAGTACATCAGCAGTAAACGAGACCGATGTAGCAGCAGCAGCCATTCGGTTGTTCAGAGGGAGTGGCGAAAGCATCGGAATTTGGTGCCATTGGGGGATGGCAGGAAAGTTCTGTCCGTTGTTTTACAGCACCCTTCTGTGGCCAGGTTGATTCTAAGTAGAAGCTTTTTTTGCAGATCGCAATATATTCCTCTTTTCGGGCTCGTCTCGCTGGTTGTTGTCCCACAATTGGCACATTTGAGATCTGCGTCCTCAATTAACTCGCAGGTATCAGGTGCGTGCTGTTCGCCACAATTTGTCGCAGCGGTAGTCAATGTGGTAGTTTTCCGTTCCATGCCCGAATAGCAAGCACTTCGCGCATTGGGTGTCACGGTTGACGGGTTTGTACCGTTCACATATCACCACGATGTTGAACAGCACCCGAATATTCTGCAGATCCTTGATACACGTTGAATTCTTCTCCAGGTGGACCAGATACAGCTTGTTACGGTACTTGCGAGTGGCGTCAGGTCGATTCATCGTTTAAATCTGGATCGGCTTGAGTCCGTTCTCCTTCAACTTCTTAGATAGTAACTCAAGTTAATTTGGGAATAAGTATAGGAAAAGTAATCTCTATGCTTTCATCGTCCTAGCCTTTTACTCTAATGATAAACTTGTTATCTGTACCCAACGGAAATTTTCTTACTTTGCTGAATGTGTCGGGTTCCATGTCGGGGAGGTCACGCAGGCTTTTCGGCCTCAAGGTCATGGGAGAAATAATCCACATTTTGTTTTGTGAAACTTGTCGTAATCATCGGGTGAATAGTAACAATAACAACTCAATCATAAGTGGTGTGATGCAGAGGTGCTAAGTGTACATTTTCACATTTAGATGTCACCACTAAATCGTATGGGGAAACTGATTGTATGATAAAAGGTCGAAGGTACAATAGGTAGAATGGACAAAAGATTGATTGATGAGAAGGGGAACAAAAGGTCGAATGATGAGAAGGGGGACAAAAAGTCGAATGGACAAAAGGTCGAATGAATAAACGTTCGAATGGATAAAACGTCGGATGGACAAAAGGGCGAATGGACAAAAGGGCGAATGGACAAAAAATCGTATGGACAAAAGATCGTGTGAAGCCCACTTTACCAGATAGTAAATAGTGGAACGAATACCTATCAGATTTAAGGACACCGTTTTGTTGAATATTTAATAACTAATCATCAAAATCGATTATTTTTATATTATAAATGAAAGTTATAGGTTATATTAAAGAGGGTGCAGTGATTAAAAGGAGAAATAAAATTGATAATACAATTATAACTTACATTGTTAGTGTAACTACGCATGGGGATAACAAAAAAGCTATTTAATCTGGAATAATCTTAGAAACCGTTCACTTCTACATCAGCTTGTAAAAAACATAATAAAGTCGTTCCAATACTGTTCCGAAAAATTCAACCAGAGGTTATAAGAAAGAACGAGCAGAGATGAAAAGAAGGAAAAACAAGAATAATAGAATCAAAATACCCAGTCTCATAAACCATTAAAATATTATAATTGGAAAGAACTGTGCTTGTTTGTAAGAAAGTTAATTTTCTTCAATTTGCTTAGATATTTAATAGATAGCATTATTATATTGCTTTCCTTTTTTATACCCTTCGACCTATTGTCCATTCGATCTTTTGCCTCTCTTTGGACCATTTGACCATTTGTCCATTCGATCTTTTGTCTACCTTCTAATTAATCGAACGTTAGTCCATTCGACCTTTTGTAGCTCTTTGGATCATTCAACCTTTTGTCACCATTCAATGTTCAGCCCATTCAAATTTTTTGTTCCTCTTTGGGCCATTCAACCTTTTGTCCCTCTTTGGGCCATTCAACTTTTTGTCCTTCTTTGAACCATTTGGCCTTTTGTCCATTCGACCTTTAGCCCATTCAATATTTTGTCCATTAGACCTTTTGTCCATTCGACTTTTTGTACCTTCGATCTTTTGTATTTTAGTCCATTCGTTATTCAACGTTTTGTCATTCGACGTTTTGTCATTCGACAAAACACAACCATAACCGGGAAACTATGTCACGAAATTTTTCCCCATAACATCTTCATGACATTTACTACCTGGGTGATGTGAGGGGCTCGATGGCCTTAGAGCAACCGTTTTTGCTTACTTAGCAGAACATCATGGCGTAGATCTCAAGCCACTTCACATGCATGATTCGTTATATGCATTTTTTCCTTACATGAGTACATCACTTGAATGCATCGTACCGTTTGCCAAAACGAACCTTGCTGCTAACCCAACCAAGTGATGTCTCGTGGAAGTGCAAAGGATTTCTCGGCTTCCAACAAATTGAGTATCACGTAAACATATTCCTATCCATTCCTTAATTGACCTGAATTCATACGTGGCCGGCGCTGGTATTGCCTATTATAAAGTTTTAGATCACCAGTTTTTACACATAGCTAGTTCCAAGTTGGTTTTTTGTGTAATTACAGGTGATCTGGCAATAAAGGAGTAGCAACCGTGGCCGGTCAATCAAACTCTCTTTTTTCACTATCTTCAATAGTTTATAGTCAACAAGTACCATCATTTTGGAATACAAGATGGAAAATTCTGGATTTCTTTGATTGCTTCGAATACTTGGTTACTTTGAACGGGGAGGACAAATCTGTTAAAACCGGTTCAATAGCAAAATTTTCCATTTATATGACAAGGTAAAAAAATTGTTTGTAACTTTTTTCGTTATGCGCGTATTTCTGTAAATTTTGAGCAGTTAAAAAAATAATGTGTTCACTACATATTAAAAAAAAATCCAACATATCTGGTTGTACACACAGAATACTTGGTTGGAATATTTGGTTTATTTTACACATAATATAAAGTATAACAGTTTGAAAAAGGACAGCCATATGAGAAGTGATTTACTTAAATTGCTCAAACTTTATAAATTCTTAAGTAAACAAGCCACAAACTATACCGATTAACCGATCATTAATGTTGGTGAACATGTTGAAAAGTAACAGTATTTTCAACATTTTTTTTTTTCGTGAGACGAACCAACTAAGGGACGAAGAAAGAGAATTTTTATGGAGCGATAAAAAAAAGTCACGATGTACTGATACCATTATCTATAAGAACTCCCAAAAATATTTTCAATAACATATACTTTACCTTAGGCCTGCGACATTTTTCGCAACTGTTCCATCTCTCAAAATCCATGCTATTTGCACTTGTGAAGAACCGTATATTGAGCATGATAGCTGAGAGTTTCCTGAATCGTTACTAAATATCAAATTGGACGGCAATTGTTGCAAAAATTGAGGAACATGCACATTCGTAGCAACAATCTCTCGACCAACCGACGCATGAGAAATGAATTGTGTTGGTAATATTCCTGAAAATAAGATAAATAATCAACGTTATTAAGACAGCTAATAAGGTATTGATTTTTTATTTTTTTATCCTTTGGTTTGTATTTTCCGTCGATCTTGTTTTCCGTGCTGAGCACCAATGCTACCGACGTGCCAGGAAGGCAGCTCCCACACCTGGACCCTACCTATCGACCCATCAACTCATGAACCGGGGACCAACGGCTTTACGGCGTGATCAGAGATGTTATGCCTTAGAACATCCCGGCGGCGCCGACTGGGATTGAACCCAGGCCTGCTGGGGTGAGAGGTAATCACGCTTACCACTACACCACCGGCGCCGTTGAGGTATTGAATGATTGAGTAAATTCTCATCAATCAATTGAACACAGCATAGCCGTATCCAGAAGGGGCAGGGGAGGGGAACAATGCCCCCCTTAACTCAGCCACAAAATGTATCTGTTTAGAGTTCAAGTATCTAGAAAAAAGTTTAAATGTTAAATTGAACTAGCCTTTGTCATTTTTGTTTTAATTGTATAACTTCCACATATGTTTGAGTTTCCTAAGGGCCTGTTCATAAACTACGTAAACAGTTTTTTTGGGATTCTTGGCCCCCTCCCTCTCCCTGCGTAGACAATTATCCATACAAAATTTTTTAAATTTGTATGGGCCGTGGATAATTGTCAACCCCCCCCCCCCCCTAAACTGTCTACGTAGTTTATGAACAGCCCCTAATCAGATTGAAGTAATATTAATAATTTCAGTGAACTCGAAAAAAAGCAACAATTATTTTATTGCTTGATAATTATAGACTACGCAAATCTTCATGCTTCTTGATTTTTCTTGAAAGACTGAGAATTATTATTCAGATTTTAACATTTTAAAATATTTTGTTCTTTAAATCCCATTTGTAACATTATTTTTTTTTTTCACTTCCATGAAACTCCAATGACTCTTAAACTTCCCCAAGAATCTGACATATTGAAATATTTTCAAAGTTCTTATAATTAGCTTGTTTTTTAACAGTCTGGCACTTCAAAGATTGACAACGCTGACTAGGAATCTAAAAAAAAAATGTTAGCTCGAGAGATAATTTCAATGAATTCTTAATAAATCATAGGGTATTTTAAGGAGAACCCTTGCAACATTCTAAGAAGAATTCTAACAAACTTCTGAAGAAATTTTCAAAAGTGTTCTGAGGAACGTTTCAAGAATATTATTAGCAAACTTCAATAGCAGGTCGGAGGTGAATTTCAAAAGGTTTCTGGAAAATGCTTATGGGTAAATCTGAAGAAATTACCAAAGGAACTGTAATGAATATACATAGAATAAACTGAAGTGCGACGTTTCATGAGAATACCAACAATACTGCAGAGTAAATTTCAAAAAAATTCAGCAGAAGTTGAAAATTTGAAGGGAATTCCAATTAGAATACAAATTGTTTTCAGTGTGTCAGAAATTTTACTTGTGAATAAATATTTTTCAAATCATCACAATAGGGTGGAAAACAAAATAAAATTGTCGATTTTTACAACTTTTGTGTTAAACTTTATTCCAGGATGATCTTAAAACAATTATAAGTGCAAATTATTTTTTATCTAACTTCAAACCCATACCTTAAGAAAAATCTAAAATAAAATATTTCTCACAAATGTTCAAGTTATTTCAAATGATGATTACTGAAAAACTATTACCGAATAAAATGGTAGATGACTACCAAGACTAAGTTTTCAATCATAGTTTTGTAAGTTTTTAGAGAAAAATAGAGGAGATGAGATGAGGAATTGGGAATAAATTTAAGAATGGAACGAAACAATTTAATGGAGGATTAAGTTAGACGCCGATTAGCTGAACACCATTATATCGAACGCTATTATACCATATGGATTACTAGGTCGATCCTCATTTAACCGAAACTGAATTTTCAGTCATACTTTAGTGTTATCGGTATTTTATGAATTTGTACAACATTTTTATAAATAATTTATTCAGAGTGCCAGAACCTTTCAAAACTCTCTCAACTTTCAACTCTGTCTTCAAGTTTCAAGTTTTTTCTAGTCGTATTGAAATTAAGTTAGGTTAAGACTTAAATACAATCCTCTGAATTTCCACTCCCGGATCTTTTTAATTTCCCTAGAAACCACTAACAACATTTTTTAACAAATTTTTTTTTAAACCAAGACTATAAGTTCATAATCTTGCAATAATAGACCTTTTAATGTTGTCCATATAATCAGCTCTTAACGATTAGCGTTTAAAAAATGTTGCATTATTTTGTGTCGGAGTCAAAGCAAAGCAAAATGATGAGACACCTTTAGTATCCCTAATTTATTAAAATTATCAATAAACGTATAATAATAAAGATGTTGTGCTTTTTTTTTGTATAAAGAGTATTTTAAAATTGTTTTATTTGGTGAACGTTCAATTCTTTAAGATTTCTTATTTTATCAAAGACATTCCCAATTCATCATCTCATCTCCTCTATTTATGTTTAACCACTGACAAAAATATGTTGAAAGCTTAGTTTTGGTAGAGATCTACAATTTTATTCGATAACTGTTTTTCAATAATCATCATGAACTTGAACATTTGTTAGAAACATTTTATTTTAGATTTTTCTTAAGGTATGGGTTTGGAGTTAGATAAAAAACAATTGGCACTTATGATTGTTTTAAAACCATCCTTGAATAAAGTTTAACACAAAAGTCGCAACAATCGACAGTTTTATTTAGTTTTCCACCCAATTGCGATGGTTTGAAAAATATTTATTCACAAGTAAAATTTCTGATACACTAAAAACAATTTCGATTCAAATTGGATTTCTCTTCAAAATTTCACCATCTTAGAAATTCACTCTACAGTATTGTTGGTATTCTCATGAAACGTCGTACTTCAGTAAATTCTATGAATAAAATACTCTTGTTATATTCATTACAGTTTATTTGGTAATTTCTGCAGATTTACCTAAAAGCATTTTTCAGAAACCTTTTGAAATTCACCTCTGACCTGCTATTGAAGTTTGCTAATAATTTTCTTGAAACCTTCTTCAGAACACTCCTGAAAATTTCTTCAGAAGTTTGTTAAAATTCTTCTTAGAATGTTGTAAGGGTTAGCATAGCATAGCATACGCGATTGCTCAAATCGTGGGTGGCTATACATATAATGGTCAACCAATATATTTAGCCGGCGCCGATGGTGTAGTGGTAAGCGTGACTGCTTTCTAACACCTAGATGGGTCTGGGTTCAATACCAGCCGAGGTCGGTGGGATTTTTCTGAGGCATAAAAATCTCTGGTCACGTCTTCCTTCGGAAGGGAAGTAAAGCCGTTGGTCCCGGTCCATGTGTGTTGAATGGGTGCGATATCCTACGCAGGTGTAGAAGCTGCCTTCCTGCACATTCGATTGCCGTCAATGGATGGCAATCGATGTCCGTCGTTGATTGGTACTAGATTGCGGAACAGAGACCGACGTTAAATAGAGGAAAAATAAAAAAAAAACAAAATATTTTGCAGAAAATATCGTGTGTTGCCTTGAAAAAACACTTGGGATTAGCGGCTATTCCCACACATCAAACTTTTCAAAACAAGCATCGCATTATACATCTAGCCACATCCTTACAATCGCAGTGAATAGGAAGGAAAATTAATCCAACATTTACTTAAGAAGGTGCAGGGAACCCATACTTCATAGATGTCTCGCGAGGGAACATTTGTGTTAATGGGGAGTGGAATATATTTAGGAATCTCTAATCGGCCATATAAAGTAAAGATTATGTGAAAATGGAAATACAATTAAATAAATACAAAAGGAAAGATCCCACCAAAATTAACTACAATAATCCTGTATTTCAATGTTTTCGAAGTTGTTCCATGTATCATTCATGCCACTACTCTCCAGCACGCGTTTTCTTTTTACACCGAAGCGTTGATGCGATTAAGAGGAAGTTCACCACCCCGAAAACATTTTTTTTTTCTCGGCACGTTTTCATTTTTCCCAAAATCCTGGGAAAATTCATCAAAAATCAAAAAAAAAACCGAAAATCCACATGCAAAAGCACTTTTTGGTCTCTCAGCAAAACCAAAAGGTCCATGATTTGTGATTTTTTGAGTTCAACTTTATGCCAAGGTGACCATCATGGAACTATTAGAAAACCCAGCACCTCCGACCAGTGATGCCGCATTTTTTTTTTAATTTCAATCTGTATTTTTAACGCAAAAAATCTTTCTAATCTGTATCTGATAAACAAAAATCTATAAACTAATCTGTATAATTTCTCAGTGTGGATTTGCCTTAAGGGGGTATTCCCGATCTTTTTTTTCAAAAAATCAAATTTTTTTTTCACGTTTTTTTGTACTTTAGACTATATACTTTCATCCCCCCAAGCCGTTTTCCGATCAGCGAATTCGGTGTCCAGGCATAGCTGACTAATGGTAAGAACCCCCAAATGGTTTTAACTAAAGTCAAAACTTTAAACGCGTTTTTCTCGAAACCACATTTTTTTTATCGGGCGAAGATTTTTCTCAGAAACTATAAGAGATATTGACTTAAATCTTTGCGCATTTTGTTCCTTATTAAATTCTTTGGAGCTTCTCCCACTTTCAGCCAAAAATATTAACATTTAACATTGTTTGAAGCACCTTAAAGCTGCAAAAAAGCGGGCTAAAAATCGCCTGTTTTTTCATATGGCCGCCATTTTGTTAATTTGCTAGATTTTTTGCTGCCAACGGGAGAAGCTCCAGAGAATCTTATGCAGATTATTATTTCATCACGAAATCTGTTTCAGATGAAGCCGTTCCAGAGAAAAGTCTTCGCCCGTCCAGGCGTTTGCGGCGAACAGGGGTCTGTTTGCCGCCATTTTGTGACGTCAATAATGTCTTTTTTATGTCGAAAAAAAATTATTTGTAAACTTTAATGTTAAATAAACAAGAATCCCAAAGAGTTAGGCGCATTACTATTCATTTTCCTTGAAAAAAAAAACAATTGAAAAACAGGCCGAAAAAAGGCAAAAGATTGGGAATACCCCCTTA